AAACAATGCGTAATTTGTATCGCGTGACTCTGGAAATGCCAGAAATGGATTCTACAGGTCAAAGTGCACCCATACGCGTGAGTTTGACGTCATCCCGGCTAAAGGAAGCTCCTTATTGGCCAAGTATTACGTAATACAAGCGCATGCGAGTAAAACCCGATACCTTGAAAAATTCAAAATAAATATTTCTACTCGCCGTATTCATACATGTAATTGATAATTTAATAAACTGATACCGATTTGTAACCTATTAGGTTAAATTACATCAGTAAAAAGTCTCATTATACTACAATAGAATATCTAGATGCATAAAATTATTCATAACTTCAGTTGAAAAAGTTATAGAGTTCAAATTTACAAATATTAAAAATATTAAAATTATGGTCTATTCATATGTGAAACCATCTGTGGAAAAAACGATTTCATAAATCATAAATCTGTCCGTTTTACAACTATAGTTATTATAATCGCTTCCATAACGTGTATTATAATTATGTTCAAGTTTAGGCGGTAAGAGGTCACCCAATTTGTCTCCATGTGCATTTTTAACAAAAAAACGTTCGCATAATAATCGCCGCCGATCTTTCAGTAAGGGTATACCAGTAATACTGCAAGCTTCTCTATAAGTAGCGAATGGCAAGACAATACGCAGAGCCCGCTTCTGGAGTTTTTCGATATCTTCACTTAGGTATTCTGTAATATTGAAGTGCCAAACTTGGCAGGCATATTCGAGTACTGGTCTGATAATGGTGCAGTATACCAAAATTAGAATGCTATTGTCGGCATTTGATCGTTTTAACAACCTTAGCATATAAAGGCGTTTTCCCGCTTTTTTAACAATATGGTTCACATGCTCGTTCCATTTCAAATCATCTTGGATTGAGAGACCAAGAATTCGGGCAGATTTTACCCGCTCAATACCAACGTTATTTATAGTTACTACACTAAAGCGCTTGAATACAAAGAGTATTTTGCACATATATCCTTTCAGAAAATGACGCCAAATTTTAGAATATATTCAACTTTTTCTCTTTTTCCCGTTTGAATGTTTGGCGAAGCCGTGAGTATAAATATATGATTGTTTCGGTTTGTGTAATGTTTTGACGGCACTTGACCCCCCGTTCGAAAGGTTATATTGTGAGGATTTCAATGGTGGCATTTATTTAATAGGGGGTAAATACTCGCCGAGATATTTATATTAGAAAAATTGTATCGAAATGTAATACGAAACCGGTTGTCGAGAAAGAGTTAACATTTTTCGGTTTTCTCTTTTCATTCGCGAGATATGTAGCCTACGGTGTAGACCCCAGCAGAAACACTACGAGATATGAGGCTCTAAACAGCGATTTTCGTAAAATTGTCGCGTATCAACAAGAGTCTGGGACGAGCGTGGTGTGACGTAGCTTAAGGGACTTAATAGACTTGGATCAAGTCCGTCTCTCTAGAGTCCGAGGGAGAGCGCGAGGTGCAATAACGCGGGAAAGTTTGAGGGAGAAGACGGACTTGGCTCACCTGCAAGCGCGCCAAATTTACCGACCCGTTTTTCCGTCGGTAACGCGTCATAACTAGATTGCAATAATCTATGCTAATTGCAATAGAGCGGAAATAACAAAGTATCTTGTTTCAAAATGTATAGCGTGCTGTCTCTCTTCGTGTTAGTTTATACTTAAATGATGAATACGTTTTAATTAAGAAGGTTATTGATATGATTATACTATATAAAACTGCATAACTAGTGTCACACTATTATTTTTTTTACTTATATTAAGTGTCACGGCAAACTTCATGATCACACGAAATTTTGATACAGTCAGGGATATTTTGTTCAGGACAAATTTTGTGCATATAGTCATAATAACTAACTAGAAGAGTCTATAGATAAGATTTAATAAAAAGTGTATCTTTAAATGTAAGGCTTATAGTTATATATTAAAGGCGTATTTTAGTTTCGATCGCGACAGGTATTTTAATAATTTTGCCCTGACACTTGCGGTTTCCGTATTTGTAACAAAACCGCTAAATTAAAAACACCTGTCTATTAACATAATTCCCGCCAAAATAATAAATCTGATTCGAAACATTGCAGGTGAGCCAAGTCCGTCTCTCCCTCCTCTCTTGCACCTCGCGCGCCGCTTCGCGGCGCGCTCGATCTCTTCGCTTCGCGACTCCAACTCTAGAGAGACGGACTTGATCCAAGTCTAGGGACTTAATTTCGACGCGCATTATACATTTGATATATTTTCCAGCATGTCAGGCAGTAGCTCGGATTCGGAAAGCACTCATAGTTCTCAATGTGACTCAGAATACAATTATATTCCTGGATATATTATAGAGGATAAATCAAATGACACTAGTCACGAAATTGGAACTCTAGAAGCAGTTGATAGCGAAATTTTAGGCGATTATGATGCATGCCTTTATGCCGATGAACCGCTAGCCGGCGAAGAATGGTACGCACGATATTTCAGAAATTCAGCAGAACACAGGCAACAAAAAGAGATGCTACAGCGAAGGTTAGATGGCCTTGAAGATGTTAAATTATGGTGAGTGTAAACATGGATTTATTTTAACATTTTAACGTAAAATAAGTATCTCTGGCTAATATTATATTTTGCGGGATACGGGCTCATATGGCATCAGTCACAACAAAGAGTTAAAACCACACTTCCATCACCTTCGCAAGAAAATACAAGACACGAGATCAAAGAAAATATAAACAGACTGGTTTCGAGCAAATTACGTACATATTCTTGTTTGAAGCTACAGTGTTTATCTGCGATCACGTTTATTTAATACGAACGATTGAACGATTGTATTTTCTCGCAAGTTCAATTCTTAAAGCCCATTTTTCCAAACAAATAGGTCTGAATCCCGAGTGTAGAGTGATACAGCACGGCGGCTGTGGCA